TGTCGAGGCGCCGACGGATGGCTGTGAGCCGATCCTGACCGTGGCGCATTCCCTACGCTCCACGAGCGTGATCGTGAGAGACAGTCAGGACCGATGGGTAGACGCCCCCGGGGTCGAAAATCGAGAAAATACTCATATATCCAAGACTGCAGAAGAGTCAAGCAGCCCGACATCTGGGCAGAGTCCCCTCGGCTGGCAATACCTAGCTGTCTGTACATGTATGCCAGCGTAGCCGATCCCCATGAGTAACCCCCAATCAAATCCAAGCCCTCGAGCACCTCGTGCAGGAGCTTGGGGGTCACTCTACTACCACTCTCTCAAGACTCACGAGTTTTTGCTTTGATGAGTAACTAGCTTTGGACAATATCTTTTTCTCTCTTTCCTTAAGCTAACATTTGTCTCTCACTTGGAACTCACGTTCACAATAAAGAGGGCAACCAAAATCTTAAGAGGAGAGATGTATTTATAAGCTACAACATGACCTTGAGTAGGTGTTAAATAAAGACTCCTAATGGGATTAGGAGTTCTTACTTCTTAGGTTCTGGTCCACCTGCGCCTGATGCATGCATATATATGAATAATATTTTATTACACAAAAGAAATATTATTGAACTTTCTATTGAATAATCAATTTACATTGGGCTCCATATTTATCAATGGCATGAGATAAAAATGCCCTATCAATGGAATGAATATTTACATAACAATCGTTTTAGTTTCAATTCAATTTATTGAATGATAGGCTGAATTTTACTATTTGACACAATTTAATATGTAATATAATTCTTTTAATTTAATTAATTAATTAATTAATAATAATAATGCAAAAAATTAAATGAATATAAACATAATTTGAAATCATAGAAAAAATTATTAATTATACATCACGTGCTTCGCACATGCACTTTACTAGTTTTGAAAAAAGTGGTAGAGTTAGTTGTTAGTGGGATTTTGAGTTTATATTAAAATAATATTTAAAACAAAATAATTAAAGTTTATTTGATGTAAAAGTAGGAGAGATATGCTGTGAAGTGATGGTTAGTTAAAATTTTATAAGGGGATGAATAGGGAATTAAAGTTGATATAATGTGTTAAATGATTAAGTGATATTATTTAATTATATTGATACTACTGATGATAATGAGGTTTGAGCTAAAGTTGAGTTAGATTAGAGTTAAAAAAAAATTGGTTATAAATGGTTGAATTATTTTTATTTATTTTTTTGAAAAATTTATATCCAAACACTAAAGTTGAGTTAGACTAGAGTTAAAAAAATCTATATATATTGAAAGAGGTTGATGAAATAAACTGACATAGTAACTTTGACTTTGTAATTAAATAAGATGACTTACTATTAAGGAAAATATAGTTAAAATTAATTAATATTTATAAAAAAATTGAAAATTAAATCTTTATTAATATTATAAGAAATTAAATTACACCTAACGGTTGTAAATCGTGCAATTCGGTTACCAGCACGAGTTTTTATATAAATAAAGTGGTATTAAAAATTATTTTGTGATATAAAATTCCAATTCTTCATATCTATATATATCGAAAGAGTTTGCTGGAATAATCTAAAATAGTAACTTTGATTTTGTAATATAAATAGATTGACTTACTATTAGAGGAAATATAGTAAAAATTATTTTAATATTAATAAATAAAAATAAATATAAACTTATACCTAGCTGTTGTAAATCGTCCAATTCGGTTAATAAAACTTCTTTCCACATAAATAAAATGGTATCAATTTTAAAAATTATTTTGTGATAATTATCGCAATAAAAGTCTGAGTTTTCGTATTAGTTACAAATTACTGGTATTTCTTATTGTTTTGGTAATCAACCATACAACTTGTCTTAAAAAAGCATCTACTAAATAGGTTTTATTTTTAGAAAATATTATTTAAATATGCACAATATATTTGTAAAGATAATTACGAAATAAAATTGAAAATCAGTCATATGGAATTTTTTTATTATTATTTTTATCACAATGTTACAATAGAATTATACACATTAATAACAAATCAAAATGATTCTTTATTCATTTGGTAACCCATTCTCTCCATTCAGGGAGGAGCTGTGAAGCATGCTGGGAATGAGGTAAGGACCTCTTCACTCTGACGCCAGCCATATACCAAAATATTTTTTATCGTATGTTCAAAAAATCATTTAATCAAGAGAATTATTTTTGAATAGTTTATTTATCAATAAGTCAACCGATTCAGTTTTTTAAAAGTAGCAAACGCAATTTTGCACAATATCAAAAGAAAATAACTATTTATATTTAATAACAAAACAATATTTATCCTTAATAACAAATCATGCATTCTCCTGCTTTGTAGAACATCCAACCACATGTAGACCAAAATATGCGTGAAAACATTCCAAAATATATAAGTAAAAATCAAATTTAGAAATCAATTGCCAAAATCTTATTGAAATAATTACCACGATACTCAATAAAATTGATATCTCAACATTAATAAGAAATTCTTCTGATCATTTGGTATTGAGCCATACACCAAAAATTATCTATTCAAGGAGTTAAAATATCCTTTGATTTTTCAATAACTGCACAAAAAATATTTTTTTAACAATTCATATTGTGATTCACAATACATAACAAATTTCATATAGATTAATAGATTAGAAAGAAAATATAAAGTATTTATTATATACATTTTTATAAGTTATAAGAAAAAATAAACAATATTGACGTAATAAAAAATTAGAATTTTTTAACTTCAAAATAATATATATTACAATTTTTTTTAATTAATTGTTTTTCTTTTGTACAATAAAAGAGGCCGAAGACCTAAAGGACCTAGGCTAAGACTCGACAGGGGTACGAGACCCCAATAACATCATG